TAGGCATCTTACCTTCGAAGACAGAAAATTATTTTGTGGTAATCTGATATGTTTAGATACATCGATGGAACTATTTTAAGCAAAGTATGGCATCAGAAAAACTTTCGCCCAGATTCACATTGAAATTATTATCCTACCGATAAGCTCGCGCGAACACAGTATGCTTGATATGGTTTCGGAAAATCTAATATAAATTAGCGCGATCGCATTAAACGGGTATTATTCAATAATGATGTACTCGTAAATTACGAATCCTGTAATGGAACTTCTACTACTAAAGAAACCCTGGCGGAACTTGGTACTAAGTGTATTACTTCCTTACAATCCTCAGAAGTAGCTAGAACCTTAACAAGTGCCAACGTTATAGCCCTTAATCGACTTAATGGTCCTTTTGCCTATCAAATAATAAGCAACTCTCTGGCTCTGCACTCGTACAACAAACACTTTATTTAGCCACAGGAGTTTAATGCGATGATTATCTTCTACGGCACGTATTGCCTAAATTTACCTTCAAGGACTCGTGCGGTAGGATAGAGCCTCAGTCGTTCGACCCAACGTTACACAAAAACAGTTCTACCACTGAAGTTATTTAGTGAAGCCGACTGCCTCATCTGTGTGCAAATAGCCTTAACACATATAGCTAAAGTAATAGAACAGTTGCTCAATACGTTAAAATCGTAAACTCTCAGTAATGTAAAAACGAAGTTACTTATGAAAATCTTGTAGTAACCCAATGCTTCCCATTTATGTAGCCATTGCGTTACTCGTCGCTTACTTCACGAAGACACGAGCCAGCTTTTCGGCGGAAGACAGAACTCCCGACACCCAGCTTTCTCACTTCTTATTTATATTTTTTGTTCCTCATGGAAGGCCTTTCGGCCCGCAAAAATTGCCATAGCCGACGGTATTTCACGTCGTCTCGGCGGGTTATTGGTAAAAGTTTTCAACTAGCAATAGACGCCCCTCGGTAAAACCTCATTGGGTACGTCACCGCCTCTGCGCAAAGATACTGAAACACTCTCCTCAAGCAGACTGGTGAGCAGGCGGTATCCGCAACCGAAGGCCTTTGGAAGATAATACGCTCTTACTTTTGCGGTTCCTTAAAGTTCAACTAAACATATTTTACATCAGACATAAGCTTCCTTGAAGGCCAATGAAACTTATAACTAGCTGTTTATTCTAGGATGCACAACAAGTAGTTTTCTATGGAATCTTCTTGTTAAAATTGATGTCTGCACTACAAAACGACAGGTTGGTGCTACCTTCGTAAGCTCTTTAAAAAAGTGGCTCCACTCTTTCTTCTTTACCATTCCGATATGGCGCACTATTTTAAAAATCAAAACATTGAGATCCGAATGGTACGGCGGGAAACGACACAATTTGCATGCAAAATTTCCTGGAGATAGAGAGTCCTTTTTGCATTTGTTACACCAAGGTATCCCTACGGATCCTAAAAATAGTATTCGAAAAAAAATGTCAATTAAGTTCGACAAGATCTCAATGATATATAAACAGTCAAAAGTATAGGGGATAGAAAGTTATAAGCTATATTATAACGGATTATAGAAAGCTCAATATATTTTTGTGGGCCAGTATAAATAAGAAATACACTAATTCCTTGAAGTTGTATATTAAATTTATAAGTAAAACCTTCCTTCGTTTTGTGATTGTATATTGTCACCCATTATCTATATTAGTATTATTTAGCTATATTTCGCTTATTATTATTCCGACACTTTTTCTTTGTTATATTTAAGTTAGCATGTACACAACAATTAAAAAAGTCCCCAAAGCACTTCATCTCTGTTCTTTGTTTTATGTTGCCGTAAAAGTAATCTAATAAAACTTTTAGCACGTCTTCACGACTACCTTTCTATTCAAGTTTTTCCTGAAAAATCTATAAAAGATTTAAGACAGATATACAAAGAAGACAAATATACAACAGAAAACGAAAGAAAAAACATTAATCTTTATGTAGTTTTTTGTTGTTTATTTACATATTATAGCTCTAAAAGAAGCAACTAGAAAATTGCTAACGTTCCTATTATACAAAGCAGATTTTTAAGTCTCCTCGTGGATCTAGTAAAATGATCGGTCCATTATTGTTGACAAAACGAACTCCCCTCAGTCTTTTAGTTCATACATAGCTAGTTCAAATACAGTTTATGGTAGACGACTGTCAACAAATCAAATGTCAGTGGACACACATCGTGTTTTTTTGACTATAAAGATCAAAGCATACTTATTTTAACCATATAGCTGACCCAAGGCTGTTCTTCTAAGACTGCTCACAGCATGTGCGTATAAGCGCGTATCCTCTTGCTTACCGTGCTAGCATGACGTCTTCAAGTTAATATGATGCTAACAAAAGACAATTATTATTGACACCACAGTGAAGGATAGCAGAGTTACGGACTTTCAGGTGTAACGAAAAAATGCCGTTGACTTACAAAAGAAGATTCCCGTGTATAGCAGCTAGCAAAACGGTATGAGAGCAGAACAGGCTCTAACAACTACATGTTATTATTTTCGGTAGGATCTACGTATTCCTGCTATATGCGGTGCATATATAGACCAAGGCATCTTTTTTTAAATAAAATATAAATAAAATCATGTGAAGGGTGGTCCGTAAACTAGTTGCTGTTAATAGATTTTTTTGACTCGGAACTTCGGTTGAAGTATACTTAGTTAAACTGATAAGCTTGATGTTGTCATTTGTCATGCTGAGCTTTTTCTTTTTTGGCCAAAAAGTAAAATGACTTCTACTTGTTGCTCTGCAGCTTGTGTAGCTGGGTTGAAGCTCTGGGTATTGTAGTAACTTTTCATATTTGCAATCATACTTTCCCAGGGAAAAGGTAATGAAAATAATAGAAAAGTGGAGAGATAATAGTTGTAAGTTAGTTAATAATTAGTTAATACACGTCGAGGAACTGCTCAAGGCAGATCGTCAAGAAATGCTTCAGAGCGTTTATAGTGCCGGTGTACTAACAGTAAAAACAGTACGCATTGATTCGCATTACTTATAATTAATTCTATGTGTTTCAGATTTAGCATTCAATATCAAAATGAAATTAATAATATCAATTACTGTTTTGTGCTGATCAAATATTGCTGAGATACACTGTTTCGCGTACTTGGAATTGTTACATAAACATAAATGTATCTTGAGTTCCAAATCATCAAGTAACACTGGCGACTGCGGCAGATATTGATGAAAAAATCATTTATAATTTGGGTTTTTTTTTATGTTTCACATGTAGTGCTGCTGACGTATGTCAATTGCCGTAGCGTGAAACTTGCTGTGAAGGTTCAAGATTACTTCACAACCGCTAAGTTAATCGCATTGGTACTTATTATTGCAACCGGATTATATCGCATTTGCACAGGTATCATTTTAACAGCTGTTACAAAAACAGTAATACTTACGAACTTAAGAAAGTCACTTGTTCTAGGTTTCATATAATTATTTTCGGTGATATTTTTCAATCAAATTTCATTTCTTTGTTTTAAACTGATTAGGACTGATTTTTTCCATCACGTTACAGAAAAAGAGGACTTTCTTATTTCACTCCTCACACTTCATATATATATATATATATATAATTAATATTCGTACTATACTTAAGCTACATGCACAGAGTCTCGATTACATCCGGGTCTGTTTGATATTTTTTCTTGAAATTAAGGTATTGCACTATACTACTCCGTAGATCGCTAGTAATATAAATTACAATACTATGTCTCATAGTGTGAAAATACTGGCGCCACGCCACAAGCAATATTCCCAAAAATGTTTTCTTTAAAATTAGATATTTCAGCCCTTAGGAAAATTGGCTTTCTCTCCTGTTCTGTGTTGTTGCTTTTTAGGTACAGGTAGCCATAGCCATTTTCGAGCCATTAGATAATATCTCTAATATTTATCCTCAGAAAGCACTCTTTGATTGTTTTGTGTGCTAGCAGAACTTGGTGTGGAAAATTAAGGCACTTCGATATTAAAGACTGTTTACACCTTGCAAATACCGCTTTTGCCGATAATTCGACTTTACTCACTAAGGAATGTACTCAGTTTGTTACATCTGACCTACTACGTAATCAACGTTGCAGTAAAAATCCGTTAACTGTGTATTTCCAAAATTGCCTTAAATATGTAAATCGTATTGGGAGGCACAAACTAGGGGGTTATTCTTTTCACAAACCAACATAATTAACAATTAATAACTAAAAGAACCTTTCTTAATCGATCGACATTAAATACTTCAGATAAATTTTGCATGCAGACACAGTTATTCACAAGAGCCAGCCAGTATCAGTTAGTTGAACTAGAGACTCGGTTTTCTCGACAGCGGGACATGAACCTATCTCTTTATGGGGAACTCTTTTCTTACTGCCTGACAATGAATCGTCTGATTTGGTATGATTGCTCATGTAGCATAATCCATAGCTACCTCTGGATTACTTATTTCAGCTATTCCTCACGCAATCTCAAAAAAAAACAGCTAATTAATTTACAATATGATATCATAACTTCGTAACTTGTAAACGGAGAAATAGCTACTGACTTTACTATAGGTATCGCTGCAAATCAGGGAACAGCTGCTTGAATAAATCAACAATTTTTAACCATAACAGTTTTTATCTGTAGCTTTTACTTGACTATTGTTAGTAACATTCATTGCTAGAAATGCGGTGAGCGCTGGTTTTATTACTGATAGTGCTATACTCAGCCCAGTAACTGTAGTCTAAATGTCGGACTCGGTTGTATTTAGACGTACGAAAATCTTTGTTTTCTCCGTTTCACTAAATGAGTTTTTTGTCACAGCGCTTTAGTAAATATTCACATATTACTAGTAATGACACTCTATCATTAAATACTTTGCTCCGCGTTTTGTAGTTAATAAACCCCATTACACTAAGCTTACTTCCTCGATTTGCACCCATAGACGACTTTTGCCGACTCTAACCACAATTAATAATAATACCTATAACAAAAAGTCAAGACAAAGAATCTCTTGAACAATTCGCATTTATTGAACTGCGAACATGGTTTCGGCTCTTTACTTCTTCGCCTCGAGAGCGTCAGCCTCGTCCTTAGCCTTTTTGGCGCGGGGCCCGGCCACCCGCTTCTGGTGACGAGCAAACCGAAGTGCGTTGTACGCGCGGAAGTCCTTCTCCTCTTGCGTAACCACGCGGGGTTGCTCTGTCGAAATAACCGAACGCTTGATTGGCATAACAACGCCCTTCAACTGCTGGGCAAGCTTAAGCTCTTCTTCAGTGGAATCGCCCTTTACAGGCTTACCAGCACGTTTCGGGAACAGGATCAGATTTGCGCGGTAGTTCTTCAGACGAGCAACGTTCCTCTGGAGGGACTCAACGGACTTATTGGTACGGCGGGTATCAACCGAGATACCGATGGTACGAGCAAAATCAGCCGAAAGGCCAGCTCCCTTCAGTTCCTCAAGAGAGAAACCGCGGCCCAGACGACGCTTTGTATTGTACTTTTGAGTCGGACAGGTGATTGTAGGACGTAGCAGGCTCTAAATTATTGCAGCCATAACGAAAACAGTGCATTTAAGTAACTAGCTTATGAAGCTTAAAAATATTCGGGTGAAATATGAGGAAACTAACATCTCTAACTCGGAAATAGTAAGCTGAACTTGCATATTCAAAGGGTACCTAGCAAACACGTTTAATTCATAAAATTCAAATGGTCCTCTTTTACTACACTTATTGTCATCAATAAAAATCAGCTTGATGCAAAACTAGATCTCCTACACCTTAGTATGCTGCGCTATCCATAGTACCTCCCGACACTTATCCGAAAAGTACGCACTAATTAATAACAATGACTCGTCAGCAGTGACATAGAAGTGATACTCAAAATTGCATATAGGTTTTTCATTGATAATAACCACTCACTAATAATAATAGAAACTCACACAGGCATTACATACCGTTCACGGCGATCAACAAAAAACTATATAGAAATACGTACGGTAGGTCTCGGAGCGATCAAACGAGCCTTAATAGCGCGGTGGTTTGCCCTGCGCTTATGCCGCTGCGTCTGGTCGAACCACGTTTTTACACGGCGCTGCCAGTGTTTACGGAAATGGTTATTAGGGATGACCTTACCTCCACGGGCCATTTTTGCTGCAAACTAGAGAACCGTACACCGTTAAATACTGCATTCAGATCAAAATTAAATCCGATTTGTACTGGTGCTACCACTGCACAGCTGGTAAAGACAGCCATTTTATGGCATCAACACTAACGGACTATTAGCAAAATACACCAAAAGAAAGTATCCAAGAATTAAGTGGATCGACACGAAATATAAAATAACCACTCCGTTGCTACACAAAAAAACCGAGGAGGACCTAAAGATAGCAATAAAACTCCACAACTAAGTGGATGTTCCACGTGGTGCTATGGCGAATAATAATAGATGTTTTAACCACCTCTTCCGAAAAATATCGCCCTTATCAACAGAAGCAACCCACTGCACAGATACACCTAAATCACAGCTGGCCCGAATCACATTAGAAAACAGCAAAAACAAGACAAAATTTAACAAAAGTTGCACTCACAAATATCACCGCCGCAGCAGCACGAGCAATGAGTCTGCCAAAAAGACTAACTAACCCGTTGAATCGTTTCGGTTTCGAAAGGGCATTCGGCGCGCAAATTTAAACCTTACGCTGTACCGCTAAAACAACACCATATTAGCATCAAGATTTATTTTTTTTCTATACGGTTTAATTTAATTAGCTGTGGGATTACGTAAGAATTTGTTACAATAGTAACTGTTAGAACTGTTTACTGTAATAAAAGAGCCGATCATAATGGAGCCACTGGCTTGAACCGAAACATATCGCGATGAAAGCAGTATATATACGACAGTTTCATCCTTCGTGAGTTTTGCACGTAATAATAACAGAAACTATTTTATGCATATGCGAAGCTACGATTGGTCAAGCCAACATCTACAACCTGTTATGATCTCTAAACATATTTTATAAAGACCTGGCTGTAGCTACTGTTGCCCACGCATTCAGCTACGGTAGCCCTTACTACTTTTATGTTTTCCCAATATGAGTGTTAAAAAGTTGATCAAAATTTACTTTGCCGTTTTCCGAATCTCTGTGTGCGTGGTTAGTTTCGGCTGTAAGAAATCGAATTATGTCGGTGAAGTCCGAACGACAATAATAACAAGATATTCCCTAAGATTTCCCACTGATGTTCCAATGTTCAAATGTGCCCCTCTCTCCTAATAATTGGGCGAACTATTTAAGACACATAAACGTGCGTTTATCCTACTTATTGGCAATGTCCGGTCTGCCTGCTTGGGTTGCTAAAGTGTTCGATAAGTTGGCGCCGTTACATCACCGACATTGAGCGGACCTGTGAAAACAACAACAGTCGTATATCCGAAAATAAACATTCCATCGGCTCATCTCGTATAGATATATTCCTTCTTAACGCCATCAACAAGATCGTACGAACAAGCAAATATATAAAACCTAAACATCATTAATACCGCAACCTAGAGAAGCATGTGGGACGGATGGCGCGAAGAAACGGTAGGGTCCTGCTGTAATCTTACGTATGGCCCTCGTCATTACCCCGTCTCCCATCTAAATGTATATAAAATTGGGTTCGTCCGGTACGTTATCGCTACCAGTGGCGAACTGTTGCAGCTGCTATAATCACGGCAAATCCCCTTCAACCGCGCCATTATTTCTGTTATTGTTTTCTATCCGACAGAGTTGACTTCTGCTGCTGCTGTTACACAGTTTGCGTGTTAGTGTCCATAATAGAGAGTGAGAGACGGGGGCAAAAACAATAGAAAAAAAACAAGCTATATATAAACAGACAGGATTGTCTTTCCTCGATTCGCCCGCTCTTTCTCTATTATTGAATGTTCACCCCTGCTCCGCTAGTCCCCGCTAGTTCGTTCGTCCATTTGGTCGTTGGCAGACGACAGCGCTACAATCAATCGCGGCTGCTGCTGGAACACCAACAAGAACTAGGCAATGCCAGTTCTTATTGTCTTACGGCAGACGGTAGAGCAAAAGACGAACATCAACACTAGCGGCAGCAACCTTAACCAACCATCAAATAGCAGCGCCTGTCTGATTACCTCAGCCCTCCACGCCCCACTATTCACCAGCAATAGCATTGGAGGCGGCGGCGGCGGCAAATCGACGGACGAATTGCCTGGCAAACGCAATGGCGGCGCGGGACCATCGCCATCACTCGCAGTCAACACTTATTAGCGGGCACTATCATCCATCGAGCTAGAAGTGACCAGCTACAGTAGCGGCAACATCAACCAGCAGCACTAGAGAATGCTGCTGCTGCTGCTGCTGCCGCCGTCACCACTAAGATGTTATCGTCGTCATCGTCGTCGTCACTGCTGACGACATCGGCGGAGAGTCAGCGCGAGAAGCAGGCAGTAAGCTCGACTCGCGGCGGCGGCGGCGGCGGCGGCGGCTGCTGCTGCTGCTGCTGCTGCTGCTGGCGCTGCCGGAGCGACCGACTGACGACGAAGTGAGCCGACGAACGGCCAATGGACAGCGCTGCTTGCAGCCAGCCGTGCAGCCAACTTATAGAACCAGTGGGGCTTATGGTAGTGGCAGCTGTATCGAATAGCAGAAGCAGAAAAAGAAGAAGCGGTTTGTTGTGAGAGTGGTGCAGGGTTGTGTTATGGTGGCTGGTGTTGGTGGCACCATAAGCAGCCGTCGCAGCAGCAGCAGCAGCAGCAGTAGCAGGAGTAGCGATGTGTGTTGTTGTCAACTATTGTAAGAAGTCCCCCTCTTTCTTACTAGCCGTGGCGGTGGTGCGCTGCTGCGGTCCTAATCGGCGCCGTCTCGTTATTGCATCGCAGCTACCAGTAGTGGCTGGAGCGGTGGTGCTGAGACTATCGTTGTAGAGTGGCGCTGCTGCTGCTACAGCAACAGTCGTGGTGGCAGCAGTACGAAGACAACGACGATAGCCTCGGTGCTGCTGCCAATTGCTGTAGTTTCGATTGTCTGGCGGTGACACGGTGCGACAGGCTCGCCGTGGCAGCACCGGCGAATAGCGAGAGCACCTCTGGTGAAGTTTTACGACGAGACAAAGGAGACGTTGCCGATAACGAGTGAAGTGTTAGCAAGGTTTTCGCTGCAAGGAGTAGCTAGTGAAAAGCTCGCGGGCTGGCTATGTTGCTGGTGAAACGAAACTTGATTTAGAGAAGCAACGCTACGCAATAATGACGATCAAATATATGTTTTGAATAGAAACTGAATGACTGTTCAACGATCCCGTGGACAGATACACTGGATACGGAGTACCGGATACAGGCGAGCGTTTGTACCTGTTGTCCGTATCGTGACAGTGTGCTTGTTGTCCTTCTGTGCCAGCTAGTTCAACACTGTAAGAAGAAAAGCAAAAGAAAAAGAACAACAACAACAACAAAGAGAGGAGAGGGGCATGTGACGACGACGGGGCATTGGCCGCTGTCACCGGCAGCTTACTATTTAGTTCAGTGACGGTGTCTCTTGCGGTGTCCGCAGCGACTGATGCTGCTGCTGCTAATGCCGTAATGGTGTGATACTTGTCTATTTCATTCATTTGCCGGTTAGTCAGCCTTTCTGTAATCCCATTGTATTTACTCGCTACTGTTAACACACAGCGACAAATGACTGCTGAGTAAGTTTCATCGTCCAGTTGTCTGTTAGGTCAGACTGATTCAGTTGGCCAGTTACCGTCCCAGTGAACCTGCGAGCAAGCGAGCGACGCGCCTACTCAGCGAGCTAAACCTGGCACGTAACACATGATTTGAGCTAGGACATCGTTCTAATACAGAAACAGAACGAGTGAATACACAATTATAAAAAACGAACAATAGCCCTGGTAGCTCTCGTCCACTGGAGACGGTGCTGTGATGCCAAAAAGAGATAACAGAGAGAACATTTAAAAGGACAGGATCTTCGAAACAAGGAAAACGTGTCTTTGACGAAAATCACTGCAAAGGATAATTGGTTGCGCGGTCTTTTAGTGTCAGTCGAACGTTGCTCGTGCGTCCGGAGTTACCGACGTTGAGGCGGCGAAGACAGCAGCAGCGACGGCGGCGGCGCCGGCAGCACCAGTTAGCATCGGCGTGGTCGTATGAAGGGAACGCCGAACGGCCCAGTCAAAAATATCAATCCGAGGGAGTGAACGTTCAGACTACGGCGATTCTTGGTGCCTTTGTCGAGTGTGTTTATTCTGCTGTGGTCAAGGTGGTATTATGTCCACTTGACGGTAATCTAAAATCCTACGAGCAGTCGAAGCCCACTTGTGGCGTGTGCACTCCACAGAAAAAGAAATAGAAAAACTGCTTATATAAGTTATCTTTAAAAGTCGCTCGCTGGACATAAGTAACTGAATGTTTTGGTCTTCTCGTCACAAGCACTCGTAATCGACATCGTCCGCACTCGCTAGCTGACACGAAAACACGGTGCCAGCTGATCCCCGGAGGCGACAAGATGACACCCTCCAGCTATCCCATTTAACCCCAGCTCCGTTAGCCTTTTCGCGTTTCGTGCAGTTGGGAGGTGATACGCACAGCAATCTTGGGAAAATGTCCTCCTGCGTGATTGTGATTCGCAAAACGAGTTTATTCATTCAAGAGCAAAATTCATCGACAAGATAGCGGAGGTCCATTTCGGTATCTTCTACAGCTAAAGTTGATTACTGTTATTACTGTTGTTGTTGTTGTCGTTGTCATTGTCATTGTTGTTGTTGTTGTTGTTTGTAGTGGGTGGTGGCACAGAGAGAGAGGGCAATCGTGGGGTAACAACAAACAGCCAGTAATACCACGTACAGCCAGCACGGGATAGGCGGGTCCCTCTAATTGGTTTTCACACGGGTGCCCCGCATTTTAACTGCGCTTGTCTCACAGTGGTGCCGCATTGTGCAGAGCCAACAACGAGCGAGATAGAGAGAGAAAAAGTATCATACATATTCATCGAGAGAGACATAACGCATTGTACTATAATGTAAAAAGAAGCAAAATAATGCCTACTAAACAACCTCTATACTGTTTTATAAAAACTGTGTGTATTTTTGACGGAGTCTAATCTTCGTTGCTTGACGAGGTACTAGCAACGGTTTAAATCTTCTTCAAAAACTACCTCTGAGCCATCAGTCGGCTATATCATACGGCGTTTGTTACCTCAGCCGTCAAAAATTTTACGGAACTTGGAATGAGATCATCATATCTTTTAGCAGTCGATTTTCACTTTCCAATCAGCTTGCTTGGCTATTCGCCTTTCAATGGACCGTTCGCCGCCGTAGTTTCGTGCAAAACAATTCTACCCTTTTCGATTTTGGCGGATTTTTAAACGAAACCCCGTGCGTCGCCTTCGTGCATGCGGCGTTCGTGCTACGGTTACACTACTGCGACTTATAGTTACACTTTAAAGGCTACAACCATAATAATCGATGGCGTTGCTTTAGTAGCCTATTATTGTTTTCCTTTTCGTCATCATCGCTGCTGCTATTGTGGCCGTCTTTAAGGCGGCTCGGCGCCATTCCTGGGCTCTTTTACGGCAGACGGCGCCGCCGCCGGATTCGGTGGTGGGAACAGCCAGCGAAACAGTGATCCGAGTGGCCAGATCCACCGCGGCCGCCCTTGTCGTGGTCGAAGTTCCCTGTCGTCGTAGGGTCGTCGCAGCGGCCGATAAAGGTATCAGTTAAGCTGGAGTTGGAACTGCTGCCGGTGCCGTTGTTGACGCGGGCCGTCTGCCGTAGCCAGACGTGCTCGACGCAATCACCAGCAAGAGCGGAGCCATGTTCCGATGTATGCCGCCTATCTTTCGCGGGTCAAACCGCCGCGTCGAATGTGTCGACAAGCGTCACAGCAATCTTATGAATGTGCCCGAGGATATTGGACGATTCCGAAGTCTCGAGCAGCTCATGCTTGACTCGAACCACATCCGCGAATTGCCCAAGGTACGTAGGTTAGGTAGAGTCACAGGTAAGATATGGAATGTAGCGCATGCAGACCAACTAGCTAATATCACAGATAATCGATCAAGTAAACATCGTATAATAGATAGATCAACGGCAGATGCCAGCTGATTGCATTCAACAGTTCATTATTTTGCTACAGCTGTCGTACCACAACAAGAGGGTGTTCGATTCTCGTGGTAACATGCGACATGATCACAACAATAATGTCGTGATGGCAAATTACCCTCCGCCTGCATTGTGGGATATTACTCGCGGATCTTGATCGCTTGATTGATCTCTATTTGCCTACAAAGAATGTGCGGCTCTCTTCTTAGCTCCGTTCACCTTATTAGTTGCCAGAGAAAAATACTATCTTGTCCGTAAAAGTCGGCTTTGCCACTTCCTATAGTCGTGTTCCTTTTTGTTGACTCCTGACCAGAAAAAGGACGATTTTTAACTATTTCTGTACGGACACCGTTCGTGCGGCTTGCGTTTGGTCGAATCGTCAGTAGGCAGTGTCGGCCGATTACACGATACCGCAGCCCCAGCAGCGGCGGTGCTAGCCGACCGCGCTGTCAAAGCAGCCAGCGGTCTGCTGCCTGCGTGCGGGACAGCCGGTTCAGCTGAGTTGTGTCGGCATCTGCATGCTGTGAAGCCATGCTGCTGTCGTTGTTCGTGCTGGCACTATAGATGCAAGAGGCAAGAGCCGTAGAAAGAAACGATGAGGCAACCCGTTTCTTTCTTTCCCTTTTTTCTTTTCTTCTTTAAGCGCGCTAGAAGCAACCGTTGAACAGTGCGCCGGGTGGTGGCAGTCGCCGGTCATAGCAGTAGCAGCGGTAACAGCAATGGAAGGCCAGGATGTACCAATCGTAGAGCGTTGGTTTTTGCTGTTGCTGCCGTCATTTGTGCCCTTGTTGCGCTCGTCGCCGCCGCCGCCGCCGCCGCCACTGTCATGGTCGTTGCCGCTTGGGCGTGTCAGGAGCTCAACGCATTACCACCGTCACCAACGGCAATGGCGGCCGCCATCACTACTACGGCTAGCACACCGGCAGCGCACGCTAGCGGAGTACCTATTTTTCTGCTCATTCTGTTTAACTAGCCGTAACTAGCTCACTCGGTCGATCTTGCTCGACGACGGCCACGGCTGCCCGGCGTACGGTTCACGAATGAAAGTAGTAGAAGTCATTGTCACTGTTGCCGCGCAAGCAAGCAATCAATTAATGAACGAATAAAGAAACAGGGATGAGGTGATCCAATACTCTGGTAGTATTCTGCTTGGTTACCATTTACGCGATATAGCTAGCATGCATGCTACAATGACTATTTGAGCTTGAATTATAGTCGACCTGGTGAAGCATTTGCTAACTCGCTCAAATCTATTGACCGACGAGTAAACGTCGTTGTGGGAGCCGAAGGAGGAGGATCGGCAAAATCTACTTCGACCTGCTTCAGCTGGGCGTAAGGAAAAGCCGTTAGCAGCTATTGCTTGTTTGTCAGTCATGTCTTCTGCTAAGCTGGGCTCCGGGCGTCAAGTCGAATGGTTATCGTCGGCGTATCTGCAGCTTCCACTTGGATCGAGCCGGGGCTTTGCTAAACATCGGTCCGTGCTGATCGGATTTATAAGTTTTTTTTTCTTTACGATAGTACAGAATACACTCAGATAGGTTGATGTCGATTAAACTTAATATTCGACTAATGGCGCTGGTTCAACAGTTGAAAAGCGAGCAAAGCAATTGTTGTTCTTTTGTAATTAAAAATCATGGCCTTAGCCCGGTTTCGGGCCGTAATTATCCTTACGAGTCATTAAGCAGGCACTTATCTGTGTCGTAAAAATTTTCCAAAAAAGAAAAGGCACTGTAGCTTACAGGCAATATTTACACATCACTGGAAAACCGTTCGGCGGTTAGGTTAGTCTAAAAGAATATGACAAGTCACGATAGATGGCAAGCTTCAGCTTGATTTCTCACAACGGTAATAATGCTAGTTAGGAAAAAAAATTCTCCTCGTATTCTAATGAATGGCGAAAGTTCAATTCATTCGGTTTCTAATTTAACACTGAATAATTAAGCAGGTACCTATTAATAACCATTTACGTTCGTATCTTTCACTCATCTTTGGCAACCAGCTAGTTAGAATAAATTTTCTGTAACCTTTGTTGTTATCGTGGCCGGCCAAAAGGGAGCGTGTAAACCGGATGCCATTTTCAGGTATTGTAGGAGAAACGCTAAGTGATGGGTTGTCCTATCCGTGATGAGTTTCGCCGCACAGTTTCATAACTTCGCTCACACACCCTTCTAATACTAACAGTCACAACTGGCCAGATTTGACTCACAGTCGCTGATCAAGCAATAGTATATTTTGGTTCCGTTACCTTTTCAAGGTGACGCGATAATTTTTGTATTGATTTGTTCATTAGAGGCATTCTGTCAACGTGCTTACATCCTACCCACCACTGTCACAGACAACTGTTAACCGAAGAACAAGTTATATGACCATGACTATTTCCAAGGGTCAAGTTAGTTGCTTTTTACTTAACAACAGTAATGTAGATTAGGTTTAAACGATTATCTTTTAACCTTGTGAAAACAATGTTTTGACAAAATATTTCCGCAAAACAAGCACCTGACACTAAACATCACTGGCATAAAGAACTAAAATTAGAATTAATTAGTGAAGATAATTAAGAAACTTAAATGAACAACTACATTGCTTAACATAGTTTTTCTGCGTGGCGTTAGAACGCCTGGTGTAGCTGCTGAATGGATTTCATAATGCCCATAGCGTAAACACAAATAATAACAGTAATAACAATGATGAGAGTTATTAGTATTGTATTTTGTACCTTTTGCCCAGAATTGCATTGTGCAAACGGAAGTAACCGACAAAAAAACAAGTAGTAGACGGCGCAAAGGTTAAAGCTTTTTGCTGATTTTTGCTCGGCAGAACCATATTCGAATACCACTTGACAATCGGGAGTGGATTGTTCTATTTAACTATCGTGTCACGCTTCTATCGCTTCCATGAGGCTAGTATATCAGTAACACATCACCATTCATCTGCAGAAAGTTTAACGGAGATATCTTGATTCTGACTGTTCTACACTTAGATAATTGGCTAAATTTGTATATATATGTACATGGAAACTAAAATAGCTGAGATATATGGTCTCTTATATGAACGCTCTACTTATATCAGGTTTACAGTAAACGTAAATGTAAAATAATTTAGACACAGGTCTTGTTAAATATCTAATTAGTTGAAACTACTTTTTTTGTTCCCTAAATCAGCCTGTAGCCGACCCTTAGTTCAGCATAAAGCAAATCTTAGCAGTGATAATACTTTACCTCTATGGATGGATGGATGGATGGATGGATGGATGCATTGACTGTCTACCGTATGAACTTTCAGGTTTGCTATAATTAAAAGCATCCCTTGACAGCTACTTATGTGGCCTAAATTTCTCGAAAAAAGCGATTATGCAGGCCGTTTCTACAGATCTATGAAATAATTATAGCGACTCAGAAAGATAGCTGCTACAAAAAAAATTACCATAAAACTTCACCTTATTTAGCACATATTATACTTGATTTGCTCGCAGGTGTGCTGCGTATTCAAGGCTTTCTGGTTCCTAGTTATCTAAATCTAAGTTAATTTCGTAGTCGTTCCTTGGGAACTTTCAGCTTTAGATTTGCTTCGAGTGTGCATTCTTCGGTAAGTTGTGTTCATTATGGCTGATAGGGTCCGGAATCCGTAACGCATATCTATGACGCTTATCTTGACCGTGTGTCATATGCCTCCAGCTTCTAAATATAAAGCAGCTGCTGCTGCTGCTGCTGCTGTTGTTGTTACCGCTTCATAGAATGAGCTACATTTAAACGCTCGTTACAGCTACCGTCGCTGATATTTTTACCACCATTACCTTTGCCTGTACATCAGAAGGAGGCCCTGCTCTATTAGGTTAGCGTTGATACTCATTCTTTATATAGCGCGCCTATAGACGTGGACATATAGGCGTAGAATCAGCGGTATGCCGTCGTCGGAAAATACCACAAATGTCTTTCAGATTCGCTTGCCTTCTTCGACCACCGAATTACCAAGATCCATATTTCGTTTCCTTTTGTAATACACAGCTTACTGCTATCTCGGTTATATTGGCGGTCCTTTCGCCTTGGACGTTTGTCCGTTTAGGTCGCGAGAGCATCGAACGTCCTTTGTAGGGCCGAAGTCGAGTCGAGAGCAAAAATCAAATCGTTATTAGGGCTCGCTCTTGCTTTTCCGACATGTGCCAATATCTGCATTGTCAACGTCCCGTATGCCATCTTAGTTAACGTATTCGGCGTTCCTGAAACATTCCTGGTTGTTGCAGAGCTGTGGCTTGTAGGAAGTTGTTATGAATGGACAGTCCGTGCTCTTTGTTGCTTTGTCGTCCCTGAATTGTGGATTAGAGTCGATGATATTTGTACGCATAAATGAAATATGCGCACACACAAGGCGATGACCTGTTGTTAGAAGTATCAGCCGTCGTGAACAACTGATATTTTTCAATGGATGACAATGAGTGATCATTCGCCCCTGTGGTTTAGACTGGCATGGTTAGAAAGTAGTTAGGATAAACACTAGGGAACATCGTTTAGCCGGCTGGTGAGTGCGATAGCCAACGTTAGTTGCTTTAGTTATGGAAAATTATCAAGTTTCGACGCCGGCAGCGGCGCCCACGGCGACATAAGTAACGTAACAATAGAAGCGTCAACAAAGGACTCATTAGCAATCTTGTTTGTGCTAGTTTGTGTGTGAACGCGCGCGAGTACTAGCGCCACAGGAACCGATTCTAGCTGACGTTACCAATTCATCTGCTATATGTGCCCAGTACCAGCGCCGCAATCGCAGCAGTTGTAAGCCTCGCAACATCATCCCTCAATGTGGCTTCTATGTTCTACCGTTGCCGGCGCCGCCTCCATCACCTAGGCCAGGTGAGCCAATCAAATAGACTGCCATCTCGTAGCGTCTCACATCACGTTTTCATCGTTGTCATGCTCCTTCTTATTGGCAGCGTCAGGGGGAATGTCGGCTGGGACGTCGTCGCCCCCTTTTCAAGTGACCGTGTAACACTTCCATGACCTTTGAGGTGCTTATTACGGTTGCGGATTTATTTTGCCTGCCGTTCTGATCATATATATATATATATATATATATAATTGTAACTTAGTGTCTTAATGTTTATTTGCGTCTTATTTGTCTACCTGCCTGTACATGTATCGTTACATGGCGCAGTGTTACCTCCACAAGGAACCTACGATTATGAGCACTGCTACGGGCGCTATAGCCATCATTATTAGTCTAGTACGACTACTGCGACAGTCAGTATATAATTGTAATGAGCATTATGGTCACGACTGTTACAAGCACCAGCCCGGTAGCCACATCCGACGAAATTAAACGCCTGAGCCCTCTGTCCAAAAATGACCCAAGCTGCCATGAAGCTAACGAACGAACGATTACGGTAAACAGTAAGTTTCCGAGATGAAATCGAGTCGTTACGTCGTTTCTTCAGTGCAACGAGCACGAGCCAGTAAACCGGAGTAGCAGAATGGCAGAAGTATCGGGAGCGGGGGCAATGGCCCGGGTTACTCATACTAGCTAAGAGAACTTGCTGAATCGGGATATTGATAACCACGTATAATGATTTGGAAAAGAGGGTAATAATAATAAAAGCTTGACTTTTTAGAGAGGAGCCAGGATCAATAGAAGTTGACTATGAAACGAGTTCAATATGGAAGGAAGAAGGAAAAAAAACGCATAAAAATCTTGATTGGTTGACATTTTTTGTCGCTAAAAAAGCTATTTACCTGCACGCTCTTCTGTCAGTCTCAACTTTCAATATGTCGATGTATATTCTATGGCTAATTTATCGACGAGAAGAACGCGTTCAGCAGTCGAGTGTTTATTTGGAAATGCTTCGTTCGAACAAAAAAGCAGCCGTCAGCTTGTATTCGGCTTACGATTGGGATACGTGTAGAGGTTGTGAGGTGGTGGCTGATTTAAAAGGGGTAACGTATTCTGACGGCTTGGAACGAGACGCAGTAACAGTTAGCCCAGAAGTGGCAACTGGAGCACGCGTACGAATCACTTGTTCCAAAATGGTGATGACGCCACGACTGATTCCGATTCTCTGCTACCGTGATACGACTAGCGGAACAGTCACGCGTTTGTCCACTGGCAAGGTTTGACTATGTTGCCGATCTGTGAGAACAAGCGTGATGTTGGAACCCGTGCTGCCACTGCAGTCGATGCCATTGGATCAATCAGCTTGTGAACGTTAAATAACCTATACATAAAGATAGCATAGTACATGTTATGACAGCAAGTTAAATAGAAGTTGATTGTGCTGTTCTGGTGAGAGAATATATATCGTCGCTTGTCATATCAGTGAGTCGATCAGATGTAGGATCTAATGGTTTGGGCTGTTGACATTTATCTCGATTTTAAGAACGCGGTCATACCGCGTTTGCAGGTGACTGTCTTCGCTATCCGTGGCAAATATTCGTGTGCATCTGTGGCTTGTTCTGTAAACACAGAGACTATTGTAAGCAACGAAGGTTTGAAAACCCGTCCGCATTTTAAATCCGCGACTCAGCTGAGCATTTACAGGACATACCACTTCCTCAGATTTTACATTTATGTTTCACCTGGTTACTGGTTTAGGAAAACTACGATCCGTAACCTCAGCGATTGTGAAAGAAATACACATCTATGTAATAGTCTATCCCATGTAGTTCTACTGTCGCAATTCTAGCGGCAATTATTGTATAGGTTCTCTCTTTGGGTCGATATGTTGCCAATTTAGCATCATCAGTCGTCAACGTGAAGATTATCATAAACTCTTCATGACCGAAATGAATAATCTGGACGCTTTTAGACTCGCTGGGCTTTGCCACATTTCACCGATACCTTCCGAGGTGTCCTTTGCTGTGCTTGATGCTGCTAATCTGTTCGCCATTTTCGTCCACCTACCCGTACCATCGGAGACTTACATTTACCTCGGAGACGAAATGCCGGGCATAAGCTTGGCATCCTCAATTTATTATACGTATAGCTTCTTATCCATCTTTTGTACTTGTATATAGTACTTTCAGTATAGTTGATATAGCATTAACTGAAATATATATAGAGGTTGGGTAGGTCAAAACAAGCAAGTTGCCGGCTTTTGCTTTCGGCTATCGATCGAGCTCGCTTCTCGTATAAATTGAGCCTATTCGGCGTGAACCGACGCCGACGACTCGAGTAAACATTTTGCATAGTCTGTTCATTTGCTGAGCGTATCACCAACATAGCTTAGAAATACATAGGGATTTATCGGCCGAAAACCCAGAATTCGGCAGTTACAACGATGACGACAGCGATAGGAGTGACATCATCGGTATAAATAGTTTTCCTCTACAAGCCGATAGGCTAAATCATTAGCCGTGCTATACGGTCGTACAGTTGCTTACAGGCACTCATACGCCGAGGACTCTTGTACGGTTCCGTACGGTCTGCGTTAGACAAGTCCGCATTCTGAATACCAGCAGGTTCACCTGGACCTGGAACAATTTGATTCTTGCGTATCGTGAAGCGTGAGCCACTGAGGTTTCTTTGTAAACACAAATCGTAGCTGTTGTGTAATTGGTAGCAGCATAGGGCTAGCCGCGTAACTAGGTCGGCGGTTACGACGAAGAAAATAGGCAAGGAAATTTAATAAAACGCGATAATGAATAAAAATGGATGATTGATCGTGGCTCACAGGCTTCGCGTTGACCGTATGTACATTTTTCTACTGGATTACCTTATTTTGAGAAAATTATGAAAACAGCTTAAAATAATAATAATAATAATAATAACTGCTATGTATACAGACAAACGCGCGCCTGACTCACGCAATATTGGTTACGAAGAGTTACTGTCTAGTAAAAAGATGCTGTCAATAAATGATGATAAAAATTTATGAACCACCATCTTCAGCCACTCACTTTACTGGATAGCGATGCAGGGGGCGCATGATAATTATGTAAGACCCCATATAATATTATATACATAGATATTTCATATACTGCATCGCAACGGATCGAAGCAGAGATCGTTAGGCAAAGTCACCCCTGTTTAAGAGGGGATAGTACCCAAATGGTCAAGCGTCACGTCGTGAGTGTTATTACAGGTTAGAATCACCGTGGATTTGTGTCGATATTCCCGAAATCATATCTAGATTGCACTAAGGATTTCGCTAAGGATAAATAGATGGGTGCGTTTTTTTGTCATGTTGGGTTTTTGAAAATCAATTGTAAATAGATTTAGTTGACTTTTATTCCATTCGGGTGTAAGCTAACCACCTATTGACTCATCTATTTAAGCACGCAGCTATGACTGGCCACCTCTTTGTTCTGATCAACTAAAATCTTCAGGATCTTGCCGGTAAGTTTCTAATGCTGTGCTTTTCTGCTGTGTCAAATTGCAGCATTTATTTCGACTTCAGAAGCTACGGAGCTTTTCAGCCTCAGACAACGAGATTCAAGAGATTCCACAAGACATCGGGAACTGGCAGCTGTTGCAAGAACTTGATCTCTCAAAAAATGGTAAGCCGTCCTGGATTAATGCGACCCAATAACCACACATCATACTTGGCTGCCACAATGAATAACTTCAAATTGGGATTTCCCAGTATTGTGTGCGTACTACACACGTTAGGGCAAAGAAATAATGTATTTAGATGCCAATAGTTGTTCTACGCCAGCTAGCTTGCAGTGGAATTCGTAATTACAAGTAGGTTCCAAGAGCCGCAGAATGAACGGCTCTCTGTTACACTATACAAAGTGTCCATAAGTTTTCAAAAACCTTACCGATTCGGTTAATCAGATACAAAAAAAAACATCAAAGAGGCTGTATGTTAAAGCTGGTGTATATTTCCCGATCTCTACATCATTTTGGCACTATGGTATTAGAGAGAAAAATATCGTTGTAATGACTAGCGAAAAAGCATAATCGACTTAAATCTTATGTCATACAAAACTTGTAAAAGCTTCTTTGAACATTTCAGAGACCACGCACCAAACTACAAAAGCTGCTTCTTTAATCGACTGTATTTCTGAGTAATTTCATTTTATGTCGGAAATTGAACAGCAAAACGAGATACTATGTTTTATTCAAAAGGCCGACGCGCGACTGCTGAGGGCCGCCGATGGTCTCTCAAGCATCATTAGGGAGAAAGAAGGAGGATATCAACGTTTTGGTGACTGTACATGTATTCAAACTGGTTTATACGCGCATGATGATATCCCGTACATTGGTGACGATTCCCTAGCAGACAAAGTGCGTATGCCGTTTCAGGAAACCTTACTTTTACGCACACGGGTTGCTTGTATTAGTGTGGCATGCGTAGGGGTGCTTCGGGTCGTCATTTTTAGGCTCGTATGTACAATTGTTAATCACGGTCCGCCACCCCAACGATTTATGATTGATACATATGTACTTTCGATACGTCAGCAGCTATGCGATTTACACGTTTCCCGGAAGCTACCCGCCAAAGGCGTGCAACGCGCTGGTGGAATTCTAAGTACCATCGCGGTTATATCACGTGGACTCTTCATGTGGGCAATGGCTTGTATCGATTACACAGTATCATAGCTGGCTTTTCACCTAGCCTGTCTCTTATTTTCCGCTGGTAATCGTATATGCCTGAAATTCTGTTGTATAACATACATCTGTCATATTTGAAAAAAAACTGTGAAATATAGGACATCTGTTGGTAGTTGTCGTAGCCGCTACTCATCCGTTCATCTTGGTGTTGACGATAGCTTCTACTTACACCCCTGGGGGTTTATTCGGTTCGAGCGAATTCATAGAACGGCTTATTCCGAATCAAGCAAATTTAAAAAAATCGTCAAGACCGATCGATCAAATTTTGTCAAGTTACAGTGTATTAAGGCAAGGAGAGATTGCTGTTACATAAGTGGCTCGGCTAGATGACTGCATAGTGTGCATGGGTGTGAGATGATAGATAGTTATTAAAGCTCTTAGCGTATGTGCTTTTAACTATGATAGGCGCTTACTGGAGACGCTGCGTTTCCACTTGAGCTATGAAGGCAAAATATTTCTAGTAATAGACACACCGCCAATGATCCGAAAGGACCAATGTCGAAACACGAGACCATTCAAGAATCAATAAAATAAGGCTACTTTAATGCCTAGTACTTCTTCGCTCCTATAGTCACATTGCGTTTACTCTGTGCATACTCGTTGATTTGTTTGCTGTTTCGTATTTCTCTTCTTAAATAAGTAGCTTATGGGCTGTATACCCTGTGGGATATAACTGTGATCGAGTGGGTTGCAGGCTTATATTGATGAGTGAGAGAACTACTACGGACCGGGTCTCGGTGATGTAGGGCAGCTGGTCATCAGGAGAAGTCCATAATGGTTGTTGTTATTGCACTAAGTACCATTTACGATGCTGCTGTCCGAGGAAGTACGTCTGCTTATCAAGCGCTGGGCGCTGGTTGCAACAGCAGGCCGGCGAACGACCGATTCAGGGGCTGATGACGGATGCACGATATGCCAGGCGTGGGGCTCAACTACATGATCTGGCGGTCCTGTGGAATAAATCTAAGCAGATACTTTTGTGTGCGTACAGTCATTAGCTCGCTTGAGCTGTTAATTAAAAACGCACATGCTTGATTGGACGTTCTAGGAAATGTAATCGACATCAGTGGCGCCTCTAACTATTCGTGTGACATCGTCTGGATAACGTTGGTGATGTTTTATTATACGGTGTCTCTTTTTTTTGTGTCGTTTTAGCTTTGTATCGATGTGATTGACTAGCAGCTTCCCTGCGTGAAATTGCATCATTGCTTGACAGGCTGTAATGTTGTTCTTCACGTTATTGTTGACGTATATTGATGCGAGTGGTTAAATTTATTGGTTGCCGTTGTAATATACATAGTGAGATAGAAAATGCGCGTCCGTTCTAAAGGGGTACAGTCACAAGTCCTGTTGGTAGAATAAAGGTTAGATCTAAACGTTCGAACATAATAAACATACTGATTATATGTGAAAAGATACGCTTGAAAAGAGAGGCGCACACAAACTTCCAGTCTACATTATGTACATTGGCAGATAAATGTTTCAGCAAGAGAAATCATTGCTCTATTGTTTCGTGTACCTACATGATCGCACAGTTCATCACTGAGAATGTTATTAAAGGCAGTTATTAAGTTGAACCACCTTTATGACTAACACGTGTTTACTCCAAATAAGTTGCATATTGATCTTGTAACAATCAATAATACAAATATGCGATTTCGGATGGGCATTTGGCGATATTCAAGTACCGGCATATACATAACATACATGTGTCTATAGCACCACTATCAATAATAGTACCAATATAAACTATTGCCACACATCGACGCCAGAGACTGAGCTCGTGCACGAAAGATTTGGAAGAAGTGATGACCTCATAGGTAGAAATCATTGTCAACCGTTTGAGTAGTTGCCTGTCGCACCCCGCTTGCGATGCTGGCTCAGCTGCTAATATGGACGCCATTGTCTTGGATCGTGGTGCCAAATGATTACGTTTTTAATCTTCTAATAGAACCTAAACGGAACGTGTCTGCGGAGCGCGCCCGGACACGCGTTACCACCCTCACAGTGGTGTGAGTCCGTGTCGTCATTGTTTGCTAGCTAAAATACATTTTACATGATTTTCACTAGCCCCGTACATCTATGTAATTTGCCCACTACGCTAATTTGATGCGTATAGCTGCTTCCATGAACAGTAACCAGTGCATATATTGAATTGTTTTGCGCTAAACGGTGGAACTGGTATGACGGTTTGTCAATGAGAATTGCCTAAAACGGTATTAACCTTGGCAGTGATAGTCGAGCCCGGCTTTGCTCATGACCCTATATGACAAATATTGCGTATACGCCACAGTGCTTAGGATAGATCTATCGCCAAAATCTTAACTACTGGAAGATTCCTCGGTAGCAAAAAAAAAAAAAAGAGATAGATAATGCGAGCTCGGCCGAATGCTTCGCTAGGAGTATTGCTATCTCAATAGTGATAACAAAACCGATACTGATGATCACGTGGCTCCCAATTTGCTTGAAAATCTACTGCTGGCCCCCCGGTGGACCCTCAATTGTATCAACTTTAGAGGCGCATTGAAAATGATTTTGCTTCAACGTTTTAGTTGATAAGCCATTTTTACGGGCGTACCCAACCCGCGTTAGCATCCCATAAGACTTTTTCGTTTGTGACTTCAACACGGGCCAGGCGCATTCTTTCTGGCGCATTTTTTACACTCTGCATTCGTTGTTTTTTGCCTGCTTCTGCTACTACTGTTCATACCTTCCCAATTACTTGACTGCCCGCTGAAACCTTTTTGTCCTATCGTCAATAGATACGCTCTATGCGGACGCGAATTATGGTAACACCCACTCGTCCGCAATTTATGCAATTGCCAAGACGGAAATTCCATCCGACAGCAGATAGCTTTGTTTTGTATTTCTCACCCAAAGCATTAGAGAAATATATAGAAGCGTAACCTGAAAGTAACACGCACAGGAAAAAGCAGCAGGTTGAAACCCTCGACAGGTTACCGCACTTTTAAATAGCCATTTCTCTTACATTCGAGGGTCAATTAATTCATCACAGATGGTCCTTATTTGGTCTGTTTCAGTTACTTTGGTGACTGCCACACTTTGACCTATCTGTTCGATTCGGCTCATACGCACCTGTTTGGGCGCATTGATCGCACCTCGTATCATGTACTGCTTTTTCAGGACATATGCCTCCAAAATTTTTAAACACGCTACTCGTTATGGCAGGCGACCTGGTTGCTTCACTGCTAACGCTCTATGGTGTTGCTGAGGGTGTAGAGAACACGCCGGCTGGAGCAGACGTCGTTGTAGTTGTTGATTTCCACCGGATGCTCTTCAGTACTGGTGGATAAGGGCACCTGTGCAGTGCTTTTACCGGAACGAGTCAGCGAGGAGCTGAATTCATCATCAATGAATTACCAGGATCAAGGACTAGCTTAGGGCGTCATTCGTCTATTGTACAAGACTGCCACTATGGCTGTACATTTGTGATGATTTGGTTAATTGCGTAAATAACCATCCTTCTGGTAATGTTTCAGACGTGAACAAACACTAACCTGCAATAGAGTTACGAGTTAACCGGCAAGAAATTCATTTTGCGTTCTGATTTACTTAGAAAACAGCTATGGCTAGCGCAATCAGGTGTAACAAGATCATTAGAATGATGTATTGGTATCGGGAAGAGGCCAATAGGAGCTGTCGTTATAATAGGAGTGAATTCTCTTGAATCTGGCTATCGTCGATGGAACACTATTAGAAGCCTGCCGTAAAATTTTAGCGAATATCTTGAGTATCAGTTCGCTTGTACACATAGATTTCACGGGTGGCGGTTGATTGAAGCTCAAATGATTTTTATTAGGCCAAGAACTGCAACGTTTTGTACTAATAAATACTAGTAGCTTACAAAGCAGCGGTACTAGAACAAATCGTAGTGATAGCTGATTTTGCGGCTGCTGTAGATAACTGGCATCCTACCTCT